CGGAACGCGAACAACAATAAAAGCACACACACACAAAAACACGCTTGCATGCCATTAAAGTGAGGTCAATCTCTTCGTTTGAGCGGGAGGCAAAAGAGCTACGCGCACAGAGGACGCACAAAGAAAATTGACAAAAAATTGACATTACATTGGCATCTATACACACACAGGCGACAAAGCGCTTTTACACTTTTTGGGATTTATTTGTTTGCACATAGTACACAGTTGATTTATTTTCTCCGATCAATATATTTCGAAGATGGCGCAATGTTTGTTTGCACAGTCAATAGCTACGTGCTATAGGATGAAGCGAGATGCCGATGCGTGATGTGTCGAACCCATATCCATTTAATATTTGCTTTATTCATTTTCTCAACTCATGCTTCTGCTCGTCCTCCCTTTCCTCGACTTCAATGCGTGTTCGGTTCGGATGCTGAGTCAATGTGAGTGTGTGTGTGTGTGATCCGCTGCGGCGAAAAGAAAAATCACACTTAATGCTTTTGACCGAAAAAGAAACCCCGAACCATGTGTACACAACACGAATGAACAGACAAACAATACAAGAAAGGAAAAGCAAGCGCTTTGATAAATCTGCCAGGCCGTTGTAGTCATCGTCGTTGTTCCAGAGATGCGGTGCATGCTTCGCATGGTCTGCTGAACAAAAACTTTAACTCCGATTTATTACTTTTATTTGTTAACAATTAATCGATTTTCAGGCCAATATTTACCAGAGGATCTGTGATTGCGTGTACTCACTGTATACACAAACCGGATGACCGGCAACACGAAATTCTAATGAAAAGTATCGAACCGATGGGGCTCTTGGCTTAAGTGATCTCTTGCTTTCGGGCAATTGTTCCACGCATCCATCTGAAAGCATATTGACATTGCCAAATATAGAAACGCGTTTCAGCTTCGTGACATCCGCAATCAAACATACACAACTGACAATAATTAAAACCGTATTTTTCCTCTCATTATTTGTCTTTCACACTCGCAACCATGCTTTCTACATATACTACGTTGATGCCAATGATCATTGGTTCGTTTGGTGGCATTTCTATATTTCCATCATACATTTTTCTATTGTCATTTCGATTTTTATCCTATTTAAGAACTCAAATTGATTGAATGATTGATAGCAATGATTTAAATTCATCTAATTCGCGTAGAAATTATGTAAATTAGTTTTTCAACCCTTGTCGTTATTTATTTATCTGGAGTTTATCCAGATCACTTTTCTTCGTAACTTGTTCATTTAGTAGCAAAATTGTGAATAAATCATCAATTGACACTAATTGAAATTCCAATCACTTTTCATTTCGTGGCACTTACATTCGTCTACACCACTTTACGCTAAAGTTTATTAATTGCTGACAGTCTGATTAATGTACTTTTTACTTTTTTTTGCAGTTAAATCGACTGAATAAATGAAAAAATCCTTCAAATTGCACATAAATTCACAATCCCACACACTTGATTATGGTACAGAGCATTTTTTCAAAGGAATCGTTCGAATTAATTTGTATAATTGATTCGAGGGCACAAAATGAAAAAATCTCATTTTACTAACAGTTCATTTATCAGGAGGTTTGAAGCAATGACAAAAAAGGTATTCAGCCTATGGCAGTGGATAATGTGTCAATTTGTCAATGGCGATAATTAATCTTGATATTAAAGCCGATCAAACTATTTTTTGTTCCGTTCAAACCGGCAGGATTCATAGCCCGTACAAGTAATAAAAGCGAATGTTAGGAATATGGCGAAAGATTTTATTATTTCATGTTCTTAAAAATGAATGTTGGTTGCCTTTCAATTTAAAATTGATGGCATCAATTTATAATGGGGGATAATATCGGTATCTTTGTTTTTGAATTACTGCCGCACACTTATCACTGTAAAATGTAAAAATAGTTTGCAATGGTATTGGAAAATATAAAAATTTGATGTGTTTGCCGAAAAATCTCGGTTAAGTCGACTAGTTCTATGCCAATAAATTTCGCCAACACATACGCCCAGTGCCTGATTTAATTGGATTAAAGTTTTGACTCTGCATCTACGAATATAAATATTGCGAACGTACGCTGGCGAAAACTCTGCCGAAAAAGAAACAAAAGTCGACAGAGATAGACATGCAGATAATAATAGGCAACATTTTACCCGAATTAAATATAAATCTTTTTTACCATTGCCAAACAAAGCATACGAATTTGGAGCTTGAATTCCGTTGGTGGCTGTCACAATTTTCGATAGGCTTTTGCAGTCACACGGAGTGCACTGGCTGTACAAACATTCCATTTTCCAAACTGTGTGTGTGAATGGCACAAATTGCATCGGATGCATTCAACTTTATTACATACGTATTGAAATCGCGGGACTTAAATTCAATTTGAGTTTTCAAACTAATTACCTATTCTTGAGGAGAAAACTTTTCCACAGTTTTATGTACTTTGCAATGCGAGGCTACAGAAAGAGATACACATCATGATACTGTTTGAGCAGCAACTTTGGCGAGCGTTTTTTCCCTCTTGTTTTCTCTCTCTCTCCCCTCTTCCTCTCTCTCTCTCTCTCTCGTTTACATCGAATCCGACTTCGCGCGAGCGATAACATGGTGGAAGCGACTGAAAATTGAAATCGAATTGAAATAAAGCGAGTTCAAATTGTTCGACATAATGTAGATGCGCTTTCATTTCTTTTGCCTCAACGTTGCTTGGCTTCGCTGCAATCGCAAATATTCGTTGCAAAAGGGCTACAAACGAAAAAGTTTATCAGTGTATGCGGATGAGATAAGTAAGTCATGTGGTAGACTCAGTTAAGTGAAATAATTCTTTTTTCTCCTCCCTTTTTCTCTATCCCGCCCTACTCACCCCGCCAAGACCTGTTTATTTCGATATTTAATGGTAAAACTTTTATGTGTGAGCAAAGACAAATCGTTGTTTTCCACTACGCAACTGCCAACCTCGTTTTTCCGCACATCACAACGCATACTTTATCCGAATTTTATACCGGATTTAGCCGGATGATGTAGCCGAAAAATGGAGCACAGTCTATGTGATGAGGTTTTGGCTACCAATTCAAAACCATTAATCCAATATTCATCAAGTTTAAGTGTAAAATTGTAAGCTTTTCTAACATTAACCGCAATCGTGTGGATTTATTCGAGCCGGTTTTAATTGTACATTTGTTAACAAGATATCAAATACACATCGCAGCGAAATATCACGGTGGTTGACTTAACTTCTGTTACCTTTTAAACAATCAATTAAATCAAATGCAAACAACATTTTTGCATTTTCTGTTTAAACATTCAACCATTAAATGAAAGTTTCGCTTACTCGGTTATGTTAATTACGTATTACTTTGATACGAATTCTATTGCTGTTGAAATTTAAATAGCAATTCGCATGCAATTGTCTCACAATGGAGTGATGGAGCGTGAAGTGAATTTAAATTTAAATAATCATGTTAATTCCCTCAATTTAATTAGCTTTTCAACTTAACTTATACCATCTAATCAGATTTTTATTCACCACAAATCCAAGTGTGAGATAAATTAATTGATTTACTTGAATCAATGCCGCATTTAAATTGGAGCAAAAGAAACCCCCCAACTTGAAGCATATACAGTACATATAGGTATTACAGTGCACCCCCGCAAATTAGAAACCCGGAAATTAGAAAATCTCAGAAATTAGAAATGAATTTCAGGTAATGAAAGTCTTTTCCATTTCGTTGAATATCTATATTAGCAGATCAGCTGAGATTTTCGACGTTTACCATGAAGTTAAAAATTAAGTCACGAAGTAATCTGTTCCATATTGTCTGCGTCAATCATAGATCACTAACAAATCGAAACCGATTTGTTCCATCGAATACACCGTACAACATTTTTGAAAAAAATTTCTCACACATGAACACTTTAAAGGCCCGTTGATAGAGCTCAAAATTCCAAACAAAACTGTATCTTTAGTTTTTCCGTGGGAC